GCCCCCCCCCCCTGCCGCTTCACAACCATGGTGGATAACGGCAGCTCCATAAGAGCAAGCTAAACAACTTGAGTCTCGTTTCTCTCGCGTTGAAGCTTCTAGCTAGGTCAAATCAACGAGGGGCTCAAGAAGACCAAACTTGCTGAGCTGAAACAGAAGCTTGATTTGTTGCTGCGCTAAAAAGGGTTAAATGTGGTGGAAACAGTACAGATTGGCCTGAAATTCAATCCTTCTGGCCCTGTCAATTTGGGTTCACCGCTACAAGAACCTGGTGAGTTTTCTATATCCTTTTTGCTTTAAATACACCCCAAGATTGATCCGCCCTTGTTTGACGGGGAAAATCCTCGTGGTTTCAGGGTTAGAAAATGTCGCAAATGCTTACAGATTTACCGAATTCCAGAGGAACAGGAGTAAGCTGCCATGCTTTTGGAGGGGAAGGAAAACATTTGGTTTCAGGGCTTTAACCACACCATCCACCCATCGAGGCTTTCCATCCTTTTGCCACCACCTCCCAATCGAAACTCTCCACCCTATTCCCCTAACACAACAACCCAAACCGGTACCCATAATCATAGCACTTGCAACAAACCACCATTTCCTCATTTTCCACTCAGAAACCCTAATGTTTCAAGTGTGGGTATCCATGTTTTCCTGATCATCAATGCAAAGGGAAGGATTTAAATAGTCTTGAGTCTTTGGAAGACATGGTAGAGGAGTTTGATGATGGAGAGTTAACGGATGGGTTGATTGAGATTGACGAGTAGCTCGTAGAGGAGTATGGGTTGTCAGTGAATGCAATTCCTGGCAGCATCACTTGCAACACTATTCTAATTGAAGGGGAAACTAATAAACTACCATTAGCCATCCTCATTGACAGTGGAAGCGCGCACAGTTTTGTAGATGTCAATAGAATTCCAATTCTCGTTGTTGGGGGAAGTGAATAAAAAAATGACAAACCACTACCGCTGTTCCTCTCAGTGTAATAGTAGCTGAAGGTAGTGTGATTCAGTGTAGAGCCAAATGTCGAAATTCTGAATGACAAGCGCAATGACATGTTTTTTTTTTAACTAATCCGCTAGTTCTGCGGTCGGGGGGCAATGACATGGTGCTTGGGGCTGATTTGATGAAGGCATGCAGCCCAATTTTGTCTGATTTCTTGAAGATGAGCTTGACCTTCTAGAAGGACGGCCAAGAAATAGTTCTTAAGGGAATTATTGGTAATCAGGGGTTGAATTAAAAATGATTATCGCAGAGTAAGTACAAAAGGCTCTGTACCAGGATGTCTATGGACTGGTGGCTCAATTGTTTGCTATCCATGGGCAAGAACAAAAGCTTGAGGAGATTCAGCCTGTGGTGCATGATTTGTCACTGGAATTCGATGCAATCTTCGCTCAACCTACTCAGCTACCACCAAGCAGGGAGTGTGATCACTGGTTTCCACTGGAAGAAGGCACTAAACCAGTCAATCCTTGACCATATAGACATTCCCATGGCCAAAAGGATGTGATGGAGAAACTGGTTAAGAAAATGCTAGATTCCTCCATAATTCAAGTGAGTCACAGCCCTTTCTCTTCACCAGTACTACTGGTACAGAAGAAAGACAACACTCCGAGATTCTGTGAGTTATACAGTGATGAACGGTTTTCCAAGATCGATTTGTGAGCTGGATATCAAAAGCACACAGCACGCTCGTGATGAACGGTTTTCCAAGATCGATTTGTGAGCTGGATATCAAAAGCACACGGCACGCTCAATTTCTGAGAAAGAGTTCTTGGCTATATTGCTAGCAGTTCAGAAATGGAGGTACTACCTGGAGAGTAAGAAATTTATTTTCAAGAGAGCTTGAAATACATGTTAGAGCAGCGCATCAACACTTCTATCCAAAAGAAAGGGCTCAAGAAATTGTAGGGGATCCAATATGAGATTCACAGCACCTATAAGAGAGTGAAGAATTCTTTTTTGTTGGCCTAAATTGAAAGATAGTGTAAAGAGAGTGGTGGAAGAATGTGATCCACGTGCCAGAAACGAAAGTGAGATTGTAGCATACCCCGGGTTGCTGCAATCTCTACCCACTCCTCCTCGTTCTTGGAGTGACATCACTACGGACTTCATTGAAGGAGGTCGTTGACAGGTTCATATAATATACCCATTTTCTTACTCTGAGTCATCCTTTTACAGCTTTGAATATGGCCAAATTTTTTTCAAGCATGTTTATAAATTGGAAGGTGTTCCAGCTCGCAAGTGACTGACAGCGACAGGTTACTCGTTACCTTGTTTTGGAGAGAATTTTTGAGACTAATGGGCGCTGAGTCGCGTTCTAGTTCAACACATCACCCAATCAGATGGGCAGACAAAAAAGTAGAATAGAAGTCTGCATACTTTTTTGAGGTGCATGACTTTCCAGGGGCATAAGCAGTGGCGCAAATGGATTTCTTTGGCTGAATTTCGGTACAATACCAGTTTTCATTCAGAAATTGAGATGACTCCTTACCAAGCTCTGTATGGGATACCCCAACCAGTGGCCAGTATTGCTGAATTGTTGCAAGAGAAAACTCAGGTGGTGGCATTGCTCAAGGAAAATTTGTAGAAGACTCGAAATTGGATGAAACAAGAAGCTAACAAGGGCAAAACTGAGCGCAATTTTTGTGGGGGTGGCCACGTTTACCTCAAGCTGTAACCTTAGAGACAGATTTCAGTATCCATGCAGAAAGAACCTCTTTAGGGTCTTAAATCCATTCAGCCTTCCATGTTTCATTAATCAAAGAGGAAACTAGGAGCCAAGGTGGTTCCAGACAGTGAGTTAAAAGCTACTAATGATCAGGGTGAGAACGTTGTCGTATCTAGGAGGTTGATTAAACGAAGTTGTCGTTCAAAGGTTAATTCAGTGGTTTAAACTGTTACCAGAAGAGGCCGCCCCTAGAAGATCTCTCTCTAATTGAAAGTCAGGTTCCAGATTTTCAGGACTGATTATGCTTGTGGACAATGTTGCCCTTCTTGTTATTTTAACTCTGCAATGTCGTTTATATCTTTAGCTGTTGTCGTTTGTTATTATTATTATTATTGTTTTTGTTTTTTGTGCGCTCATTACGGTGTCGTGGAGAATATCTTCCGGTAACGGGCGGAGGTTTATTAGTCGCACGTGTCGTAAACTTATGGTTTATTTATAGTCAATATGTTATTGTTGTAAGTGCACTCACGAGAAGAGAAGGTCAATAAGGAGAAATAATAATCTGTTACTTTCTGGTTGTTTTTCACTGCATATTGCAACAAAATTATTTTAAAATTGAAAAGAAATTAAAGTTGATTATTATAATTCATATGATTCGGGGTTTGAAAATGCTCATGAATCGCGACTTCAAAATTAAAAAAAAAAAACCCGGAAAGGGGTGTTGAATTCTCTCCCTTACAACTATCTTTTAATAAATTAAAAATATTAAAAAAATTATTAATACATGCTAGGCATGGATTAATCACTGTATGATTTTAAAGAAAATATGTAATTGGTCCAACAACTAAAAATATCATTATAAAATATTTTTAAATTTGTTTTGATTTGCGGTTCGGTTTTGACAACATTTTTTTTTTTATCCTTCTTGTTTAAGGAATTTCATTTATAACCTTGCCGTTTAAGCAAATGTAAAGCACCATGCCAAATTAGAAAACTTACTTTAAATTAAACCCTTTTTTTGCATATCATCCACATCCCTTGTGGAGGAGGGTTTTCCTTAATTTCCGATCCAGCACGAGAATAAATCAGACTTATGCAATCAAGTCCTCTAACCCCTTGATTTGATCAGCCAACCATCCAAACTCCACCAATCAGCTTAATTCTCCCGATAATATTAATATTAATTTATGGTCCTAAAAGATGGCAACCATAAGCTGTGGATCAAAATGCCAGCTCAAGCCATTTATGGTGTCTGTCACCGCTGAGCCCTCATGTCAAGCCCGCAAGATTTGACATTTGAAGCGGAAACCCCAAGAAACAACAGGCACGAGTGTGTATAAATGCCTTTCCATTACTGGATCATAACCCATCCAGGTCAATGAAGTGATTTCCACTCGAACTTTTTGTAGGGAAAAAGGAGAAAAATTTAGAGCCACACGTGCGATGAAAATATGTAGGAGACATTAGGGCTGGCACGTGGCCCTCGCTCATTCTAATCAATAATTAATAGTTGTAATTACTATAGCGTGCCCTTTTAACTTTCCCAATGCAACAAAAGGGCTGCTGCTGCTGCTGCTCTTGCTTGCTTCAAGAAAAAGAAAAAGAAAAAGAAAAAGAGCAGAGAAATCCCTCCTGCCTATATAAATGCCAAAACCACATGGATTAATCCTCGTGAGCCAAAAGGGGCTGATTATAATGAATAAATTAAGGAGATGGAATCTTCCTCCATTCCATTAATTGACAGTGATGGTTCGATCGTTGATCCCACGTACACTGGCAATAAAAAGGAAGAGGAAGAAGAAGAAGAAGAAGTAGAAGCTAGAGAGACGATGAGAGGGCCCTAGAGAGAGAACCTCAACAGGAATCACAGGATATGTTTTCCTCTGTGCTGTAAAATGTTTTTCAAACAATCACAGTTAAAACCAGATGGATAGGTTGCGACCAGCGGGTTCCAATTTCGAGTTTTTCTCTCTCAAATAATTCACTTGAACAAGACTTTATATTTAAACCAAGAGAGAAGAGAAAGAAAAATGAGAGATAAAACTCTTAGTATATCGAAAAAATAAATACTCCTCTTATCTGTTTGAAGTTGATTAATTTTTGAATTGTTTTGTTTCCTTTTTGACGAGAAAAAAAGGAAGTTGAGAGTAGATTAAACAATTATTCATGAACCCTGAAAAGCGAAACACCCGTAGAGACAAAGAGATAATTTACAGACTCGAGTAGACAGAGAAATGGGGTTTGGTTAGAGACGCGAAACAAAGATAAAGAATGGGGTTATGGTTTTGTAGAGAGAGGGGGGGAGAGAGAGAGAAGGCAGAGAGGCACATGGCATGTGAACAACAGCTGTGTCCACTCCCCACTTGATAAATACCCTTGTTACCATCAGTTCCTGGTCTTTTGAGTCTCTCAGCTTCGTCCTTCCTTCACCTATGAAGTAGAACGAAGCTCTCTCTCTCTCTATACAAAAAAAAAAAAAAACCAGAGCTCTTTACCTATCTAATGGCTGCTCTCAAACCCTAAAGACTCAAACTTTTTCTCTCTCTCATGAACCCATCGACAAAAATGAAAGCCCACTTCCTTGCTTTGCTTCTCTCTCTTACCTTTCTCTCTCTACAAGCCTCACCACCACCTTTCCTTAGCTCAACAAACGGAGACACCCAAAACCTTATCAACTTCAAGACCACTCTCTCTAACCCATCTCTCCTTCAAAACTGGCTTCCTAACCAAAACCCTTGTACCTTCACTGGAGTTAAATGCCATGAAACCACTAACAGAGTCACCTCTATTGGCCTCGCTAACATTTCTTTATCTTGTGATTTTCACCCTGTGGCTACATTTCTTTTGACTCTTGAGAACTTAGAGAGCCTTTCTTTGAAATCAGCCAACATTTCTGGCTCTATTTCTTTCCCTCTTGGATCTAAGTGCAGCTCCGTTTTGAGCTACTTAGATCTATCTCAGAGTAACCTCTCAGGTTCTGTCTCTGATATAGCCACTTTACGTTATTGTCCAGCCTTGAAATCCCTGGACCTTTCTGGCAACTCCATTGACTTGTCAGTGCATGAAGAGAAATCAAGTGTGCTAAGAGGGCTCAGCTTTGAGTTTCTTGATCTTTCTTTCAATCAGATTGTAGGCTCAAACGCGGTGCCTTTTATTTTATCTGAAGGCTGCAATGAATTGAAGCACTTGGCTTTGAAGGGAAATAAAGTGAGGGGAGATATTGATTTTTCAAGTTGCAAGAATCTCCAGTATCTTGATGTCTCTGCAAACAATTTCTCTTCAAGTGTTCCCTCGTTTGGTAAATGTTTAGCTCTGGAGCATCTTGATATCTCTGCCAATAAGTTTTATGGTGATCTTGGTCATGCAATTGGTGCTTGTGTTAAGCTCAACTTCTTGAATGTTTCAAGCAACAAGTTTTCAGGTCCAATTCCAGTGCTTCCAACCGCGAGTTTGCAGACTCTCTCACTTGGTGGAAACCTTTTTGAAGGGGGGATTCCTTTGCATCTCGTGGATGCTTGTCCAGGTCTTGTTATGCTTGATCTTTCCTCAAATAAACTAAATGGTTCTGTCCCTAGTAGTCTTGGTTCTTGCACTTCGTTGGAAACTCTTGATGTTTCTACCAACAACTTCACTGGTGAATTGCCTGTTGATACTTTATTGAAAATGACAAGTCTGAAGAGGCTCGATTTGGCATATAATGCTTTTACTGGTGGTTTGCCTGATTCTTTCTCACAGCTCGCTACTTTGGAATCTTTAGATCTGAGTTCTAATAATTTATCTGGGTCAATCCCTACTGGTTTGTGTCAAGGTCCAAGTAAAAACTTGAAGGAGCTGTATCTTCAAAACAATAGGTTTACTGGGTCTGTTCCTGCTACCCTCAGTAACTGCTCTCAACTCACGGCAATCCATTTGAGCTTCAATTACCTCACTGGAATCATCCCTTCGAGCTTGGGATCGCTTTCTGAGCTTCGTGACTTGAACATGTGGTTTAATCAGCTCCATGGAGAAATCCCACCTGAGTTAATGAACATAAAAGCATTGGAGACTCTGATTCTGGACTTCAATGAGTTGACAGGAGTGATACCTTCAGGTATAAGCAACTGCACCAACCTTAACTGGATCTCATTTTCTAACAATCGGTTAAGTGGTGAGATTCCAGCATCGATTGGCAAGCTTGGGAGTCTGGCAATTCTCAAGCTGAGCAACAACTCCTTCTATGGTAGAATCCCACCAGAGCTTGGAGACTGTCGTAGCTTGATTTGGTTGGATCTTAATTCCAATTCCCTCAATGGAACAATCCCACCCGAGCTGTTCAAACAGTCTGGCAGCATTGCTGTCAATTTTATCAGAGGAAAGAGGTACGTGTATCTGAAGAACGAAAAAAGCGAACAGTGTCACGGGGAGGGAAATTTGCTTGAGTTTGCCGGAATAAGATGGGAGCAGCTGAGCAGAATCTCCAGCAGCCACCCCTGCAACTTTTCCAGAGTATATGGAGAATACACCCAGCCCACATTTAATGATAATGGATCGATGATCTTCCTTGATCTTTCTTACAATATGTTGTCTGGCAGCATTCCAGCAGCGATTGGGAGTATGTCATTCCTCGATGTCTTGATCTTGGGTCATAATGATTTCTCAGGAAACATTCCGCAAGAGATTGGAAAGTTGAAGGGTCTTGACATTCTTGACCTCTCCAACAATAGGCTTGAAGGGATAATTCCTCAGTCGATGACTGGCCTTTCATTGCTTTCGGAGATTGATATGTCCAACAATCATCTCACTGGAATGATTCCTGAAGGGGGTCAGTTTGTAACATTTTTAAATCATAGTTTCGTCAACAACTCAGGCCTCTGTGGGATACCTCTTCCTCCATGTGGGCCAGCTTCAGGATCAAGCTCGAATATTGAGCATCAGAAGTCTCATAGGAGACTGGCATCTCTGGCAGGGAGTGTGGCAATGGGATTGCTGTTCTCGCTTTTCTGCATCTTTGGTTTGCTTATTGTTGTTGTGGAAATGAAGAAGAGGAAGAAAAAGAAAGATTCAGCCCTTGATGTCTATATAGACAGCCGCTCACACTCTGGCACCGCAAATACTGCCTGGAAGCTGACTGGTCGTGAAGCATTAAGCATCAGTATCGCCACATTTGACTCAAAGCCCCTGCGGAATCTCACTTTTCCAGATCTTCTTGAAGCAACAAATGGCTTCCACAATGATAGCCTTGTAGGCTCTGGAGGTTTTGGTCATGTGTACAAAGCAGAACTGAAAGATGGAAGCATTGTAGCCATCAAGAAACTGATACATATCAGTGGACAAGGAGATAGAGAATTCACTGCTGAAATGGAGACCATTGGCAAAATCAAGCACCGGAACCTTGTTCCACTCCTTGGGTACTGCAAGGTAGGAGAAGAGCGAATCTTGGTGTATGAGTACATGAAATATGGTAGTTTAGAAGATGTTCTACATAACCAAAAGAAAACTGGGATCAAACTGAACTGGGCTGCAAGAAGAAAGATTGCCATCGGTGCTGCCAGAGGATTAACTTTCCTTCACCATAGTTGCATCCCACTTATCATC